CAAACAAACAAACAAACAAACAAACAAACAAACAAACAAACAAACAAACAAACAAACAAACAAACAAACAAACAAACAAACAAACAAACAAACAAACAAACAAACAAACAAACAAACAAACAAACAAACAAACACATACAAACTTGTACATGAATATTCATAGCAGCATTACTCTTAATAGCCAAAAATTGGAAACAACCCAAATGCCCATCAAGAGATGAATGGAAAAGTAAAATGTGGTCTGTCCATACAATGGCATACTATTCAACCATAAAAAGAATGAAGTGCTGATACATGCTACAACATGGACAACCCTTGAAAACAGTACACTAAGTTTAAAAAAAAAGAAAAGAAAAAAAGCCAGACACAAAAGATCACAAATAGCAAGATTCCATTTACGTGAAATGTCCAGAATAGGCAAATCCGTAGAGACAGAAAGAAGAGTGATTTCCAGGGGTTGGGGTGATGGGAAGGAGGTGACTGCCAATGGGCACAGAATTTCTTTTCTGGGTGGTGAAATGTTCCGGAATTATTATGATGGTTGCACAACTCTGTGAATAGACTAAAACCCACTGACTTACATTGTTGTAAGTGATGAATTTTATAGTATATGAATTATGTATCAATCAAAAGAAAGAGAAAAAATGACTGTGAAGCATTTTGAGTGAAATAAACTGCACCAGAATAAGCTGCTCTGGTCTGCGTTGGCAAGCCTGTCTCAGGAGACACGTGAGGGGTAGAGAGGTTAGGAAACAAAAAGTATGAGTGAGTCTGTTTTCGAGCGAATGACTTGACTTCAAGGCACGGTTTGAAAAGCATGACCTCATAACAGGACCAATGGGACATCTCTTACATATTGGAAAGAAATCAGCATCACAGGAGTTGTCAAGCAGCTTTGTCCAGTATACAAGTCACATCTTAACTAAAATAACTCTGGAGTCTTTGTTAACTTCTTTCCCTTTTTCACAATATCTATCCCCTAATAGAATATCCCTCTTACAACACTAATTGCACTAGAGCATCGAGTACGTGGTGTTTTAGAACTAGGAAATTCAACATCGCCCATCAGTGACCCCCATTAGAGACAAAGGGCATGGCACTACGTCTGTACGCAGCCATCCAGGAAAGCTGAGCGTGAACCAATGCACACCTTCGGGTTTTCCTTGAAGCCAGGAAATTCATCTTCCCTTTTTCATAAT